GTTCCTCAGTGGAACAGGCTTTTTCTCCGGGCCACTTTTGGCCAGGGATCCTGGAGGGTTTTCTTGGCCATCTTCTGGGCATGGACCAGGGGTCATGGGCAATGCTCCCTCTAAGCCGTGGAGTCTTCTGAGCAAAAATCCTTCTTCGTGAGCTACTGGCATTAAAGTTGTGTGTGAGCGATTTGGCTACGGCATCAATTAGTTTGCTCTGGAGCCCTCCTTCCTGAGTGAAGACAACAATGTGTGAGCCACAGGCTAAAAAACTGTGAGCTAGCTCACACTAACTCAGCTTAGAGGGAACACTGGTCATTGGGGCTGTAGGGGGGAGGTATTTGAGAATTTCCTGCATTGCGCCGGGGGTTGGACTAGATGATCCTGGAGATCCCTTCCAACTCTATAATTCCACGAGGCTGTGATTCTATGCAGCCGGTTTTTATTTCCTTGCTGACTTCAGCATATAAATTAGGAGGATTTTATAGTTTAGAGAGGAGTTTTACTGGAGATCCCATCCAACTCTATGATTCCATGAGCCTGTGATTCTATGCAGCCGGTTTTATTTCTTTACTAATTTCAGCATATAGATTAGGATGATTTTACAGTTTAGAGAGGAGTTTTACTTAATTGCTTTGGGACTGTTTTATGTATACCAAATTTATCCTTAACTATACTTAAGGAGCTACGGTGGCTCAAGTGGTTAAGACGCTGAACTGCAGGCTGTGGAAGGTCAGTAGTTCAGCAGTTCGAGACCCGAGTGTGCCGCATGACGGAGTGAGCTCCCATCTCTAGTTCCAGCTCCTGCCAACCTAGCAGTTCGAAAGCAAGAAATTCCAAGTAGATAAATAGGGACCACGTCAGTGGGAAGGTAACTGCGTTCCGTGCGCCTTGTTTAGTCATGCTGGCCACATGACCACGGAAACATCTTCGGACAGCGCCGGCTCTTTGGCTTTGAAACAGAGATGAGCACCGCAACCTTAGAGTCGGATTCGACTGGCTTTCGAGCAAGGGAACCTTTACCTTTTTATACTTAAAAAAGAATTGATCTCTATATTGTTATTTGCGGCTAAATGTTTGATTGCCCAGGTATGGAATCAAGCAAGGGTACCTTCCATAAGACAATGGTTGTTGAAATGCTGGGATACGGCAGATAAAATAGCTACACAGTTCTTGGTTGCTCAAACCCCAACATTATCTAATAATTTTTTGGAATGACGGTATCCCTTTTTCGATTACACCTCATCAAGTTCTGGTGAACTATTTAAATTACCAGATAAGTATTTACATTTTGCCTTTTATTAAAATTACATCTAGATTTTGAAAAGTGTATTAACAGTGACAGTTTGGTTATATATGTGATGTGTTTATGGTTGTAGGCAGGGCTATTTTGGGGCAGGAACGCACAGGAACGGAGTTCCGGCTGGCTCCCGAGTTGGCCACGCCCAGCAGGAGCTCATTAGCATAACAGGCCACACCCAACAGCAGAAACTCATTAGGATTGGCTACATTAGGGGTGTGTGGCCTAACATGCAAAGGAGTTCCCGCTACAAAAAAAGTCCTGGGTTTTGACAACAAACAAGGCAAACAGAATAAGAAGCAAAAGGTGGGTGTGGCTGGATGAGCACACTTCTGGTAACACGGGGGTGCGGCCTAATGTGCTAATGAGCTGTGCTGTCAGGGGTGTGGCATAATATGCTAATTAGTTCCTGCTGTTGGGTGTGGCCTATTATGTTAATGAGTTCCTGCTGGGCTTTTCCTACAAAAACAGCCCTGGTTGTAGGGTTTGGATTGTTGTAGTTTGATATCCTTTCTTTTCTTGTAAAGACGTTTATACGGTATTTATATCTGTAAGTTTTATGGACAAATAAAAAAGTTTTGGCTTAAAAAAAAAAATTGCATCGTCGTACTCTCTTTCGCCACGTGCTTCAAGCAGGTATCTGAAGATGCAAGGCATAAATGACCGAAAATAAAATAATTATCCTGAGCATCTCTGCTCCCCTTTGGCCAAACTGTCCTACCTCCTGAGTTTTTCCCTGATCTCCAGGTTTTTAATCTCATTCTTGAGGTCCTCAAATTCCTGAGCAGACGTGAGGTTGCAGAAGACCCGGAAATCGTTGTACGGAGGGATACCGTGATCCCGCCCCCTCTGGATGTTGATGGCCGCCAGGTCCAGAGAGACCGAGTGAACCATAGAGAAGAGCTTCTCCGTCAGCTCCATGTTCAAGAGTTCAGTAGGGACCCGCATTTTCCCAGGGATCCCAAAGAGTCCGCGGAGAAGAGGATCGATGCCCCCTTCCTGGATGATCCTGAAAGGGGAGAAGAAGGCCTTATGGAGCGGGACATGGCCTTGTTGGATGGGTTGGAAGGTTTCGTTGAGCCGGTAGAGAAGGGGGTTGATAAGAGTATGGCCAAAGCGGAAGGCGGCGGTAGCAAATGCGTTCAGGATGCCTGCATTGACGTTGGGGTCGTAGCCTTTGTAGTCTCCTAAGACCTTCATCCCAGCTTCTCCGAGGATCTTGGGGAGCCAGTGGGAGTACGTGATATGCTGCATTTGGGCACCTATGATCTTGCGAGTCTCGTGATAGATGGTGTCCCCGTCCCAGTGGGGATTCAGGGCCAGAAGTTCGGTGGCCACACGGTTGTGCTCACGGAACCACAGGGTGTGCATGGAGGTCAGGGCCAGCTGTTCGTTGGCTCGGTGGTCCCCCGCCAGGAAACACGGTACGGGACTCTGGCTCTCATCCCGCATGCACTCAGTGGGAGGCCCCACCGCAAATGGGAGGAGGGGCTTCCCAGAGCTGGGGACCACTTGGCCTTGCTTCATCAGCCCTCTCTGGTTGCTGAGGTCCCTCAGTTCCAGGGACTCGTGTTCTGTGCTGCCGTAGACATTGGAAGCGTCAATGAACGAGGTGAGGTGGTTGATCTGCTCCCGGGCATAGACGGAGTTCATCAGCAGAGAGGTCATCCCACTGCCGCACACAGGGCTGGAGCGGACAAAGAACATGCAGTGGCCATTCCTCACCCGGGGGTCGTTCTCAGGGATCATGATGGAGAAGCAAGGAGGGTCGTTGGTGCACACCTGGCTGCAGGGTTCACCATCAGAGAATCGTGCCATGCTGATGGCGGCCACCGTCTGGTCCAGGTCGTGGTCAAGGAACTGGCCCCACTGCATCAGCATGTGCGTGAACTGGTCGTCCGGAGTAATGGTCTCCGTGCCGATCATGGCGGTGGAAACCAAACGGGGGAGGGGAAGAGGGAGCTCTCTGGCCTCTTCCGCCAGTGAGAAACCTCGGGGCAGGTTGAAACCGTTTTGGTAAGCAGGCTTGAGCAGCCGCTGGAAGGCAGTGAGAGACGCCCCCCACATGGGATGCTGGAGGTTGTTGCACGAGCCATCGTGGGTCCGGTACTTCTTGTGGAAGCAGATATCCGAGCAGTTGGGAGTGCGCCGGTGGGCTGAGCAGCCAGAGAGGTTGGCAATCATGTTCAGATAGCGAGGGGAGACCAGATCATTGTAGCGGTAACCTGCAAGGCAAATCTCCAAAGTATTATCCAAATGATCACTACAGAAATAAAAATGAAATCTCTCTTGAACCCTCATTATCAGATATGCATCTAAACCCTCGTGTTTTCCATAGACTCTCCCAGGAAAATTCTGGAGCTTCTAGTTCTAATGAAGAAAAGTTTATATACACACAAGCAATGCAAAGGAATGCATACTGAGTCTCCGTAAGATATTCAATGTTAGCATCAGGACATTTGAAACTGCCTTCTACCGAGTCAGATCATTGGTCTATGTAATTCGGTATTTGTGCAAATATGCTCTATCCATATGCTTAGATTCAGCAGAATTGCAGAATTCAGTGTATTTACAGAAACAAAATTGTCCCCCTTGAGAAGCACCGTTACAAACGGGCTCAGTTTTGGCTAATCCCTCCGTTAGAAAGGCCAATGGTTAATGATTCAATGCTAGATATCCCCGGTGCCGCATTATACCTGTTCCATTCATGTCCACAACTAATCCTTGCTGCACATGTTCTTGAATCAATTGTAGGGTCCTTTCAAAAATCTCACCAGCCCGGGCCGTCTCGATGGTGTACGGGTCTCGTGGATAACGGAAAAGGGCAAGCAGCTCGTTAGGAGTTTTGGGCCTCCTATTCAGAGATAATTTTAAATAAGCGGATGTTTCAACTGGCAGGAAGTCGTTCAAAGTTCCACTTCCCTGCATTATTTTGTTCCTTTCTATTTAAGATCCTGGACTGGGGATGGAACAGAAAGAATCAACTGAGGGCCAGTTCAAGGGATTTGGTTAACCCAAGCAAAGTGTACCTTTTGCCTCCTCCCCCACACACTCCATCCAGGTCCTACTTAGGCCCCTGAATCTCAGATCAAGGTCGTTGCAGCACAGATCCAGGATGCAACGTCTGTTGCCTCCTACACAACTGGTGTCTGGCAGTGAGCCGAGCCCCTGTGGCACATCAGCACCCTCCTGATTGCTCTCCTCCCAGGAACTACAAGCCTTCTCACCTAACAACACAAAATTCTCACACCCACACAGGTTTGGAATCACAGAAGTTGTTGGAGTGAATGAGCATGGTTGGACATGGGGGAGCGCTACATCACTCTAAGGGTGTATAGATGTTATCTCCTTGAAGGGGACGCCTCTCTTTGTCTTAACCTGATCCTTTCCCTTTGTCCTCTCACTGCTTTAACATGGCCTTCCGTGGAGACGCATCTCTGCAGGTCTCTCCTGTAGAGACAATGCCCTCATACTCCCACACACGTGATGCCGGACAGACTGGCCATTTGCGATAGGGAAAGTACTCTTTAGATTAGGTTTGTCTGTCTCCTTTTGACTGCAAGCTGAATGTGAACTGGGTCTACTTGAATAAATGAAAGTTTACCCCCCCCCCAACATACTTCTTGGGAGATTTATTTACTGCACTCAGCATCACGCTTCTATGGCTGGGCAAACTCTGTTAACCAAATGTCCCAATGAAGAAGCATCTCCCGTACTATGACTAGGTATGTGAATTAATCTCCAAGGCAATCTTACTTGCTGAACAGTTCCGTTCGGGTAGAATTGATTGCGTGGTCCACACTGCTGATGGCTTCCTGGATTGAGGTGGCAACGAAGGTGTCACCGCTCCGGACAACATTGGTTGCTTTTTAGAAACGGGGGGAAACAACCACAATAGTTAATGATACAGTTCTTAGAGACGTTCATGGTCTGTTCTTCACCACCGACACATTTCAAACACACGAGCTCTTCATCAGTTTGTTAGCTTAAAACATGCACAGGTCACGGTGCTTAGGAATGAAAGATTGTGCTTTGTTTGCACCCTACACTTTTTAATGATCGCTAGGCGCTGCTGTTTTGTTTGCACCACACATTTCTTACATAGTCCCTACACAAACACACACAAAACAGGGAAGGCTACTAGGGTTGCCAGGTTCCGTCGTCACACTGGAGGGGGAATTTGGGGGAGGGGTGTCCCAGGGGTGGACAGGGATGTTGTGCAATGCACTGACGTCACCCGAAAGTGACATTGGCACATCGGCAATATCAGGGGTGACGCTCTGCTTTTGGGGCAAAACTCTATGGTAAAAACAGCCTCAAACCATAGAGTTTTGCCCCAAAAGCAGAGCGTTGCCCCCCCCCACTTTCTCTATGCGCTTCTACTGAGATTGGGTCCCACCGCAGCCTATTGGTTTTGAAAAAGAACTATTAGAAACGCGGCAGCCTGCATCCGGACTACGCGTCTCTATGGCTTATGGATTTCAAGATTGTTTGAAGAGAAGAAGAAGAAGAGATTGGATTTATACCCCGCCCTTCACTTGGAGTCTCAGAGCGGCTTACAAACTCCTTTCCCTTCCCCTCCCCACAACAGACACCCTGTGAGGTGGGTGGGGCTGAGAGAACTCTGACACAAACTGCTCTTTTTCAAGGACAGCTGTGCCAGAGCTTGTGACTGACCCAAGGTCACATCAGCAGGTGCAAGTGGAGGAGTGGGGACTCAAACCCGGTTCTCCCAGATTAGAGTCCGCAGACTTAACCACTACACCAAACTGGCTCCAGGAACTATATGAGTGCACTCCATGATGAACGTATGTCAAGTTGGACTAAGGAATTACAATACAACAGGAGTGAGACACACTGACATTCTTGGGACTTTAATTTTTCTATTTTTCTGTATGACTGTTGTTTCTTGCAAGAACACCTCGGCTTTATATAGTTGTATGACTGTATTACTGAACTCGGCATAAAATATTATTTTTATATTTTTGTTTATCTTTAGCCAGCGTTTTTTTGTGCTTTGTGCCACTGCATTGCACATGGCATTGGGGTTGGGGAAATTTCCTCCCTCTGACCAGTTGGCTGGCAACGGGCAGGAGCCCGCGAAAGTGGGAGATCCCCCATCCCCACCTGGGGAATGGTATCCCTAAATGCAACACTGATTTTTAAAGTCTCAGAGCAAGAGTCCGTGCATTTTAACCTCACCAAACGGCTGCAGGATGGGGGAAAAGCCACTTGTGTCAACTGACTTATAGAAACCGACAAACGAAAAGCAAGATTTGTCGTACCAATGACGGTCAGTTGCATAGTACTGGAGGTAAACCCAAAGGTATTCCGGGCGATGCATTCGTATCTCCCTTGATCTGCCTTCCCCAGGTCTCGGATGGTCAGCGTCCCTTCTCGGCTGATCCGGAACTTCCCGCTCTCGGTGATCTGAATCCCTTCCTGTTATGCAAGGAAAGATTTTTTTCCTGAAGCTTGAATGGGAGTCGACTGGGACGCGGAGGTGACTCGGAAGAATAATTTTTGTTCAAATTGGCATGGGCCTAAAAGAGCTGCCTTTCCCAGCAGATCACCACAGGTCAAGCCAGTCTCATGTGAATGATTTAACTAAGTTCTGTGTCTCAAAAAGTCAAGAGAAAATCAGATGTCTGGAAACTGGGCCTCTGTCAAGCCACCCATGAGGAAGAAGAAGAAGAAGAAGAAGAGATTGGATTTATACCCCTCCCCTCACTCGGAGTCTCAGAGCGGCTTATAAACTCCTTTCCCTTCCCCTCCCCACAACCCCCTGTGAGGTAGGCGGGGTTGAGAGATCTCTGAGAGAGCTGCTCTTTCAAGGACAGCTCTGACAGAACTATGGCTTGCCCAAGGTCATCCAGCAGCTGCAAGTGGAGGAGTGGGGAAAGAAAACCGGTTCTCCCAGAATAGAGTCCTTCCCCACAACCAATTCAGCACATTCAAGTCCCCTGAAAAGTCAGCAAGTCATCTTTGTGTATTCTGAGTATTTAAGGGCTACTTCATACAGCCATAGTTAGATCAGTATCTAACAAACGCAGCAGGCCACTGTATTTAACTTATGTGGCCACCAGATGTCACTAGAGGTATGTGCAACAGTTAAAAAAGAAGCGGGGGGGGGGGGGGAAATACTCTCACTCATGGAGCTGCGGTGGCTCAAGTGGTTAAGACGCTGAACTGCAGGCTGTGGAAGGTCGGTAGTTCAGCAGTTCGAGACACGGGTGCCGCATGATGGAGTGAGCTCCCATCTCTAGTTCCAGCTCCTGCCAACCTAGCAGTTTGAAAGCAAGAAATTGCAAGTAGATAAATAGGTACCACTTTGGTGGGAAGGTAACAGCGTTCCGTGCGCCTTGGTGTTTAGTCATGCCGGCCACATGACCACGGAAATGTCTTCGGACAGTGCTGGCTCTTCGGCTTTGAAACGGAGATGAGCACCGCAACCCTAGAGTCGGACTCGACTGGCTTTCGAGCAAGGGAACCTTTACCTTTACCTTAGTGGACACATATTGGGTCAAATGACACCCTGCTTCCACATGGAAGTTTTGCTCTGGCTTGGCAGCTCTTGAAAGCCAGTCCAGGGCTGATTCCACATGAGGGTTCCTTCCCAGTGCAACTGTTGAACGTGGCACTTGCAAATGAGGTGCCGCATGACATTAGGCGATCTGATTCTTCACTCTTGTGAGATGAGGGTTCCCTTTCACACCTGATGTATATTGGGGCCCCACCCCACTGTTGTCATGCCATCGTCACGATCCTGCGCTCACCTTCAAAAAGAAACTCTGGTGCATGCCTAGCGCTGTTCAAAAATAACACAATGCCACGTGTTTGCATAGCACTGCTCCAGAATAACGCAATACTTGGAATCCTTTGGTAATGCTAATTGCTGGAAGGTACTGGGTGACCCGTTGTGGTCATCTGCACTGAAAAGACAAGCCGGCTTCCTGCTGTTTGGGGGAAGGGGAGGCACCACTTCAGGAACTTTTCAAATGCTCATCGAGAAGGCAGAGAAAAAACACTTGCCACTGCACTGTTCCCTCTAAGCTGAGTGAGTGCGAGCTAGCTCACAGTTTTTTAGCCTCCAGCTCACACATTTTTGTCTTTGCTCAGGAAGGGATGGCTCCAGAGCAAACTAATTTATACAGTCGTCAAATTGCTTGCTCACAGCCAGGGCTATTTTTGGGCAGGAACGCACAGGAACGGAGTTCCGGCTGGCTCCCGAGTTGGCCACGCCCAGCAGGGACTCATTAGCATAATAGGCCACACACAACAGCAGAAACTCATTAAAACTGGCTACATTAGGGGTGTGTGGCCTAACATGTAAAGGAGTTCCTGCTACAAAAAAGGCCCTGGGTTTTGACAACAAACAAGGTAAACAGAATAAGAAGCAGAAGGTGGGTGTGGCTGGATGACCACACTTCTGGTAACATGGGGGTGCGGCCTAATGTGCTAATGAGCTGTGCTGTCGGGGGTGTGGCCTAATATGCTAATACGTTTCTGCTGTTGGGTGTGGCCTATTATGCTAATGAGTTCCTGCTGGGCTTTTTCTACAAAAAGAGCCCTGCTCACAGCGTTAATGCCAGTAGCTCACAAAGTAGAATTTTTGCTCACAAGACTCCACAGCTTAGAGGG